GCCATGTGAATATGTTAAAAGCGTATTCGGAGCGATTAAATGAAACTGGCGTGACAGTTAACGTCTCTGAGGCAACTACAGGTAAGGAGAAAGTGGATCCAGTATTGTCTGTGTTTAATACACAGGATAGTGAGAATGGTTTGGAAATGCATACTGAAATGCTGACTGGAGGGCTGTTCAGTAACTCAGAGTGTTTGGATTCTCTACCAGAGCAATTGTCTTATTTGGATACTGATCAGAAGCAGGATATTATCAGCCTGATTAAAAACTATCTTGTCTTGTTCGGTGATGTTTCTTCTTGTACGTCAGTTCTCCAACATGATATTGACGTGGGTTCTGCTCTACCGATCAAGCAACATCCGTATCGGTGTTCTATGGACAAAAGACAGGTAATGAAATCTGAAGTCGAGTATTTGTTGCAGAATAATTTTGCAAAGCCGAGTAAAAGCCCGTGGAGTTCTCCTTGTGTCCTGGTTCCAAAAACAGATGGGTCGGTCAGATTTTGTACCGATTTTCGAAGGGTGAACGCGGTGACTGTGCCAGATTCTTTTCCATTGCCGCGAGTTGAAGATTGCATTGATAGTCTCGGAACTGCGAAGTACATCACAAAGTTAGATCTTTTAAAAGGATATTGGCAAGTTCCGTTGACTTCACGTGCATCTGATTTTGCTGCATTTGTAACTCCAGATCGTTTTGCTCAGTATACAAGGATGGCCTTTGGCCTGCGAAACACACCCGCGACTTTTCAGCGGTTAATGGAGTTAGTGTTTCGAGATGTTAACGAGTGTAACATCTATTTGGATGATGTGGTGGTTTATTCTGCCACTTGGAGGGAGCATATGATAACCTTGCAGACCGTTTTTAGTCGTCTTTCTAACGCTTCTCTCACACTTAATTTGAAAAAATGTGAGTTTGCAAAAGCAACTGTTACTTACCTTGGTAAGCAAGTTGGTCAAGGAAAGGTAAGGCCAATTGATTCTAAGGTTGCTGCAATTTTGTCGTATCCTGTTCCTACGACCTGGAGGGAACTGCGGCGGTTCTTAGGAATGGCCGGATACTATAGGTGCTTTTGTAAAAAAAATTTCTACGATCGTGGCACCTTTGACAGCGTTATGTAGTCCTAAGAAACCGTTCTGCTGGTCTGATGCATGTCAACATGCTTTTAACTGTGCGAAGTCTCTCCTTTGTAGTGCTCCAGTCTTGTTAACTCCTGACCTGTCCCGACCGTTCACGCTGGAGGTGGAGGCGAGTGCGACAGGGATGGGAGCTGTCCTTTTGCAAGATGGTGCTGACGGTTTGTCTCATCCTGTGTCTTACTTCTCTACTAAGTTCAGTCGGCCCCAGCTGAACTATTCGACCATAGAGAAGGAGACATTAGTGATGTTAACTGCATTACAACATTTTGATGTTTATTTGGGGGCTGCCTCCTTACCTGTGGTGGTTTATACGGACCACAATCCGTTGGTGTTTTTGTCGCGCATGTTTAATCATAACCAGCGTTTAATGCGCTGGGCCCTGATAGCCCGAAAATACAACTTGGAGATTAAGCACAAGAAGGGTAATGATAACATTGTGGCAGATGCTCTTTCGCGGGGATAATGTAGCCTACTATATATTTCTGTTTGCTTGGTCTCAAGTACACTCAACTTAGAAAAAAAAAGAAAAAAAAAGGAACATGTTTTTTTTTTTCTATAGGTGGGGGAGTGTTACGATCAGTGTCTGCGTTTTCTTTGTTTGGTCCCTCCTTTTTTCTTGTTCTTGGCGTTGCTCTCTCTTTGGAGCATATATGCGCTCTCTCTCTCTCTTAGGTGGACGCACCTGTTCGTGTTTTGAGCGGCTGATTGACGGAGTTGAGTTATATAAGCGTCAACGAGGAGGAGAAAGAACACAGCGACAGATCTTGTGGGCCAGCCAGCAAACAACTGTTTCCTTAGTTTCTTTTTAGTTTCTCTGTTTCTTTTCTTTTTATTTATTAGTTGTTGTCTGTTAATTTCAGTTTGTCCAGTGTTTGGTATGTTCTTTGTGACGTCTGTTGTGAGTAAATAAAACGGGTTAAATAGGTCTGGTCGTTTACGCATTCTTTTTTATGTTACGTAGCCTCTCTTTTCTCTGAGCTCTTGCTTATTTTATGAGAGGTCGTAACACATGCATAAACCTTACTTCATATTCAAGACATGTCATCATGGTTATGAAGGTGTCATGTCAGTCTTATGCACACCCCTTCAAGTAAAGTGTTACCCAAAGATTCAGGCACACTGGGATCCCACTTGTTTTGTAAACATTTAAGAAAGTTACTGTCATCATAGCGAGGACCCAGCACATTTCACAGAGCTGGTATCAGTTGTTTTTGGTTCACCTTGAGCAGATGGAGGAGAGTGTGGGCCCTGGCGCTGTGGTATAGGCTGAAGAGCTCTCACAGGAGGAGGGGAGGGTGAGCTGGTCCCACAGGCTTTGGTGGTTGTGGAAAAAGAGAGTGGGATAGTTTGGTTGCATACATTATACACCAGTGATACATGATACACCAGTTTTTTTTCCATTTTCTCTGAGAAGCACAAAAGTGGAGATGCTGGAGAGAGGGATGCTGGAGATAGGGGTGTCTGGGGAGAGGGGCTGTTGCTCTGGCTGTGGTGAGCTCTGTGGGCAGGGCTCTGCTGAGATTGTGTCCATGAGCAGAAGTTGTTGTAGCTGCATGGTGTTATCGTTGTCCTTGTGTGATATGTCAACCACATGTCCATTCAAGTGCTGAAGGGAAGTCCTGTGGTCATTCATACGGTGTCCAGGTGTGTGTGTGCCATTCAGGTTGAGTAGATTGTTACAAACTGCAGAAGGATGATTGAGGGAGAAGTAGATATTGCCCTTTAGCACTCTTCAAACAAATTTGTTTGGGTGAAGCCCATCCTGTTGAAACAGTTGCCCCTGTATCCAGAAAAGATTGAAGTTGTCAATGAAGTTCACTCCTTTTATATTGCAGGTTTTTTGCAGCCATGTGTTCAGCCCAAGCAACTGTGAAAACCTGTTTGTTCCTCTTGCTGGGAGTGGTCCACTGATGAATGTCTGAACTTAGTCATTTAAGGGTTTCAAAAAGTTCATTGAAATCCTTCTTAAGGAGTTCTGACTGCTCTTTATGAATATAATTTTCCCCAACATGAATGTGAGGGTATTTGCAGTCTTGTGTTTCATCAGAATGTTCTGAAGCTCCCTATTTACATCAGAAGTTGTTGCTTGTGGACGGCAGCATGTAGTTGTATCCCTGCTACAAATGTTTCTGATTGTGGAGTCACCCACTTTCAGAGTCCTGGGCCTGAGCTGAGTGGCGCTGTCTGTTCGAACTTGCATGCCAATTAGCAGTGTTAGCTACTGGCTGATTCAGTCTGTGTTCGATCACATTCATCAAATTCAGGGATTCCTCATTCATTAATACTTCAAATCTGTTCTCAAGATGGGCAGTTGTAGGAGACCAGTGTTTGCAATCCTTGTCAAAGCCGTATCTGGGCTAGAGGATGCTACTGCAGCAATATGTGCAATATGCTCCTGACAATCTGATGTCTCGAGGGCCTATGGATCTCGCTCCCTGTTTTGTGTCATCGATTTGTAAGTCGATCGGCTTGTTTCTCTACACTCATTATGGCCTGTATTGGAGCACTAGATTCATGAGACTCACCAGCCGTATGCTATGACGAAGCTCTGTTGTGTGTTCGGTCTGGTTTGGTGGTCCTGCAAGTAACTTTGTTTCAAGAACTGCAATCCTTTGCAATCCTCTCTGACAGTTAGTGCAGCAAGTAAATTCCAGAAGAGGCATATACACATATATATATATATATATATATATATATATATATATATCAATCAATCAAGCGGCAACATTCTAATCTGAAACATGAAGCCTACCCGGAAGTGCGAAAGACTGCAATACATCGAAAATCCTCTAGAGGACGGTCCCAAAAGGGAGCAAATGTCCATATACCCCATGTTAAAATGTCCGGTTTTCACAGCATAAATTCATGTTTTTACAGTTTGGTCCCATGTACTTTTGTAATCTTCAATATGTTCCGCGTGCCTGACAACCGTGGGGGGGGGGGGGGGGGTGAATTTTCTTCTAACTAATTAGTTTAGATCATATTTGGATATAAAATGTATGACAAATAAGGGCGGTTAACTTTGATTGACAGCTGATAACGGGCTGCGCCGAGTGGAATTTGACGTCTCGGCCATGATCTGACACAACACATCACACCACCTATCCTTTCTGAAAATTTTTATTTTGTATTTCCCAAAATTTTCCAGTATGGCGCCGTCCATACCTATCATAAACAGCCTCAAAACTGTTCTTTAGAAAGTCAATGGGTGACGTCACAGACGCTTTGTCCATATTTTTTACAGTCTATGATATATATATATATATATATATATATATATATATGTGCACACACACACACACGTATCAGCGAGTACCAATAACGAAAGTATCGGTCTCATTCTGGAAAAAGTCGTAATAGTGCATCCCAAGTAACAGCACTATAGAGTCATATTAACACTGAATTTAATGCTCAAATGTAAGAATTTGACATGAAAGATGATTCATACATTTAATAAGATAAAGGCCTTTATAAAAGTAAATAATGCCCTAGGTTAATTATAAAAAATATGAAGATTTAAGCATGTAAAAACTAACAGAACACTGATGACACAAATGTTGGATGTAAACAAATAAATATCGCTACAGTATCGTCAAACATAATATTGTGATATTTACGTGTATCGATATTTTCTTACACCACTAAACAATAAGATGGTCAAAAATTAAGAAAGAATGTTAAAAATATCTTTTTGTTTTCCAAAGATTAACAAAAGCCTTATCGGTTTGGAACAACAGCAGAGAACAATTTCTGCTAAGAATGGAGAAACAATATTCAAAGGCAAAGCTGTCCCAGTCAAATTTAAATACATGCTAAGATGATAATACAAGTGATAGCTTGTCAAAGGTTTGTAAATAGACTTACACCTGGCACGGGCAGACTGATCTAAGAGTTGAGCCAATACAGAGTTCCTCATTTCAGTCTCTCTGTGAAAGAAACAATACAGTTGAATCACTGTTCTAGCGTTATATAAATTCACTGTCATCATTTAAGCGCACACACACATTCACTCACACTAACAGATTGGAGATCGCACACAGACGTAATAAATGTTTAAAAGTAGGCTAATTATTTTTTATGCCAGATTTTGATAAGCCTAACTGATTTTTGCGCAAAGCGCACTATTAAAATTTAAATTGGCTTAGGCCTATATCATCTGTTCAAATAAAAAAAAATGTAAAATTAAATGAATCAATGGGCCGAATTATATAAATAAAAATCATCTACATCAACATTAACGTGTTATATTAAATACATTTTGGTAAATTAACTATTAGGCCACCAGACGCCTATATATCTAACTGACCTTTTGCGCAGAGAGCACGTGGATGACAATTTAAATTGTCTCAAACTTAAAAAAAAAAAAAAGAAGAAGAAAAAAGAATTGCTTTCCTTATCTAGCCTACAGTTCTTTTGAGTTCACCTTCAAGAACACGAGTTTGGACAATGTCTGAGGCTTCAGACACATGCGGTGGTTTCTTGAAAGCAGGCCAGCAGCGGAAAAAAACCCTCTGTGCGGTGCGGACTCGCTTGGGGATGCTGAATACAATGCAAGCAACTTTAGTCAGGCGGGGAAAAGACGTGGAGACGCTCCACTCCGCTCACATGCTCTGCTGCGAATGTAAGTTATGCCAAGTTCAGACGGCGCGATTTCAACGAAATCTATCCAGATTGGACCAAGCTCGCCAAGATAGCCTCTCTGTCTCGAGTGTTCCTGCAGAGAGGGGGTTCTCACTGCAGAATCGGATCAAGACGAAGCAGCGAAGTTGCCTTGCAGAGAACAATTACGGTTACGCGGCTTATGCGCATTGCAAGTTGTGGAGAGACGCTGCGAAGTTTTGATTTTACGATTTGATTACGCGAGACAGTGTTATAGGCCTAGTCATTTGTTTGTTCCAATTAATTTGACAAGGAGTCATTTCACGGTGGCCAATTTAAATGTTACCAGCTAAATGAGACGCTGAGAGTGTATATAATTAAGTTCGCTTGAGTAAAAACTACTATTCAGGTATTGTATGTGGGGAAGGGGGATTGGTTTGTTAAACTAATGTGAAACCATAGTAAAAAGAATTGGCGTTGATTGACGCCAATCGGACGTTCATGTTTTCATGGTTTCCAACTATTTGAAAGTTATGCTAATAAACATGTTGCATTCTATACTAGGGGTGCACGATTCAGAAAATGTCACGATTCGATACCGATTTTTTGTCTCGAGATTAGATTCAAAATCGATTTTCGATTCAAAAACGATTCTCGATTCAAAAAACGATTCGCAGGTCTACATAAATGTAGTTTACTTTTTCCTATGTGATTGATTACAGTAGACATAATTTAAAAGAAAAGTTTGATATTACTTTATATGTCTTCATACAAAAATAAAAACTTTTGCAACTAAAAAGTGCGAAGTGCCAAGCTTTGGCCAGCTTTTAAATACATTTAATTCAAGTTTAAAATAAAACTTAAATAAAAAGCTTTTACATTTAGCTTTAAAGTGCTGTAGTCAGATCAAACAAACAATTATGCTAAATGTGGTTTAAGGAGTAGGCCTACTTCAGCGACTGTTGAAATGTGAACTCGACTGGGCACATTGAACTTCCTAAAAATATATACTAATTTCATAGAACCCTTGCGAAAATATTTTAAATAGATTTTAAAAAGCCACCGCAACTGGTAACATCTATGGTTAGATTGATTTGTTTAGATCCAGTGAAGTCGTTCATAGGCGCGTAATTTGCAGGTATCTCCAGTTAACTAGCAGAGCATTCATTTAGGTCGCTATTAAATAAGAGACCTGTTGTTTTTGAAGTCAAGCTGAGCGCTCGTGTCCGCTGCAATCAGTGTCATGGATATACAGTGTTCTCTGTGGCTCGCGCAGTCTTCTCTCGGACGCGCGCTTCAATCTATCGCCGTTGTGGAGACTCCGGTGAAATCACAAAATAAAATGCACACAAACATGATGAACATATTCGGTTTTGATGAGAGAGAGAAAAAACTATACGAGTGCGGTTTAGAACCCGTAACCTCTGACACGCTTGGCAAAAGATCTACAGAACTCAAACATAAGATCTGCGGATCGATGCATTTATTTACGGGTTGAGCAGAGTGGCTGCACAGTTTGACCAGCGGGCGGCAAGAACTTGCAATAACTATTTATCAGACCGGCCCTCACAGCCTCGAAACCATAGAAACACTACCGGACCACCGGTAAAAGTCCCGACTTACCCGATTGCTACTCCGCCCCTGCACGCCATTAAAAAATATAGCCTATGAATCGATTTTTGGAATTCTATGAATCGATTCTGAATCGGTAAAGATTGAATCGCGATTCAAATGTGAATCGATTTTTTTGCACACCCCTATTCTATACGGCCTGATTATGTCATTTTTTAAGTTACATAGCCTGCCTCCAGTTTTCCTCAACTTGACTAATTAAGAGGCGATATTTGACCGGCATATCATCAAAATGTCCGTTAAACTAAACCTCTGCCGGTCACTTTAACCGGCACCATTTTTTTCTAGCGGAAACTCTGGATAGCAGACACTTGGACATGAAAGTGCATGAATGTATCCACAATAATAACAATGTAAACGTGGTAAATAGGGCTGATAGCTTGCATTTATTGACGATGAGACTCGCACACCAGCTTAGAATGCGGAGAGAAACCAGCGCACATTTCACTTTTATCAAAATAAAACAAAGGCTTTTAACCTTTTCAGAGATTGCAGCTGCCAGGGGGGTATCTTTTAGTCGCTCGGACACTAAGTGGGAATTTGGGCTGAACACTATAACCTAAGTTTTCTCTTCATTTAGTTTTAAAAAATTAGCTGCCAACTAATCTTTCACCTCCTGAATACAGGCTAATAGGTTACCGTAGGGCTGGGCGATATGGCCAAAAAATCATATCTCTGTACTTTTTGGTCAAATGGCGATATACGATATATATCTCGGAACTTTCTATGTTTTCTATTTAGATAGAGAAAATCTTTATATTTAAATATATATATATATATATATATATATTTCACATTCTGCCCAATGATATCCTACAAACAATGTTGAAATTGAAGGATATGGAAACAAATATAATATAGGCTATGCAATATATTATGTGCAAAAAGCTTTTGTTTTTAAATTGACTAAAGGCTAAACTAAAAATGAAAATAAAAACAAAAACAAAAGCACAAACTAATTATTTTAGCCTGCATTTGATTACCCCATTATAATGGTCACTTTCATTAAAAATATATACTTGTAGGTTTAAAATTCCACATATGGCACATTTATTTTCTATTCACGCTCATGCGCGCAGCGGCGCTCATTCAAGGAAGCATGAATTTTAGCGGAGATTCACTTGCAGAAGCTCGTCCTCTTCTGACATGGACATATTTGTTGTGAAATGGACATATTTGCTTTACTTTCTAATATTTACAGATGGAGAATATACCTGTGAAATGTAAGTTGAGCACTAAGGAAAACACCACATCTCAAACGCATTAAACAGCGTAAGTATATCTGTTAGTCAGCAACAGTGTCTGTCAGAGCATCTGACAGGGCAAGCTGCTTTAAACTTGTTAACTATATCTTATCAGTTATTTTGAAGCAATTAATATAAGCTTGTGTCATGTTTAGGACAAACTGTACTATGTAGCCTAGCTACTTTCACTGCAGCAGCTCACACTGCAACCTCCGCTATTTTTCAGATGTGCTCATATCAAACTACTGTATCGATATAAACGGTATTGCCTCATTCCATATCGTTTCAAAACATAACGATACATCGTACAAACTCGATATACCGCTAGGGCTGTCGCGATAACCGCAATATTGTAGTACCGCGCTTCTGACATGTCAACCGCAGAGGATTGCACGTAACTGCAGCAACCGCGATATTCACGTTTTTTTATTATTATTTTTTATAAGGCTATACCCTTCTTCTTTTGAACTTCATGCATGTGTATTGAATGTAAGTTCATAATGATAACAAGACTGCTCGGGGAAATAAAATCACAGAGTCACGCATTGAATCAACGCCAGATTGGTCTCTAAGTGAAGCTTCAGCGTTAGCCATGCAACGCATTGCTGCTTAGCTGAGCCTTGAAAAGTGGAACTCAAAGTTTAAAATAATTAAAACCTTGTTTCATTACATCTCTTTTAATGAATCAGCTTTTTTGAATGTGTTCGTTGAATGAACGGTTTAATGACTCGCACAAAGTCCGTTGTCATAACAATGTGCGCGCGTGAAAGCCTTTTAATGCGCTGTTTAGTTTCGATTACATTGGTTACTGAAAATGTCCTCGTTTTTGTCCACATCGTAAACTTATTTATATAGCAACAAATACATAAATTAAATAAATAAATAAATGGCGGTAATACCGCATATCGTGCTATCTAGCCACTCAACATTACCGCAAGGGAAATTCCATAACCGCGACAGCCCTATATACCGCCCAGCCATAGGTTACCGAAAGTATTCCTATTTTAATGATTTACCAAAAAATAAATCTGCAAGTCATCCGCGTAGCAGTGACAAGACATAAGGGGCCCTTATTTTAATGATCTGAAATGCAAGTATTAAAGGAGAACTTCGGCGAACAATGAACCTTTGGTCTACTAAAACATCGGTACCTAGTTAATCGTTCTCTGAGATTTGTTTTCATGATAATCGAATGTTAAGAGTTTTACCTCTAAAACTGTTTAGCGTATGATGCTAGTAATGGGAAAATCATGAAAACAAATCTCAGAGAACGGTTGACTAGGTACCGATGTTTTATTAGACGAAAGGTTCATTGTTCGCCGCAGTTCACCTTTAAGCGAAGCGCAAGTAACTTTGTGGGTGGGTCTTGGGCACTGTTGCTATTTTACTGGCGGGATAAATTACTCTTGCGCCCGACGCAAGTTTAAAAGGGGTTGGTCTGAAATAGCTTC